AATGTAAAATGAATTGATTTGAGTTGAAGGGGAAGATCTTCCTCATTTCTTAGAACACTTTGTACCTTTGTTATGGCACTTATCACATTTTGTCTCTTAAAATAATTTGTTTTCTTATTCATTCTCCCCACTGAACCAGAAGTTCATATCCTTGTCCTAACATTCAAGATGGGTAATAAATGTTTGTAACACTCATTGCACTTGTAGCCACTTGTGTCATTCACACTAGATGCTAAGTTTCATAAGGGTAAGCATGAAGCCTATGTGGTTTACTTCTCTATATCACTTGTTGTTGTTGTTGTTATGTGCCGTCGAGTCAGACCTGACTCATAGCGACCCCTCCTTGGGTTTCCGAGGCAGTATCACTACGGAAGTAGGATTGCCCAACCTTCCTTCCGAGGAGTGGCTAGTGGGTTTGAACCGCCAGCCGTCTGGTTAGCAGTCAAGTGCCTTAGCCACTATGCTACCAGAGCTCCCCTCTCTATCACTAGCACCTTGTTAAATAGCTGTTGAATGAATGTTGAGCTTACTTTCATCCTCAGTATTTTAAAAATATTAATAATTATTCCCTATATATACAGTGGTTTACTGAACACTGTTATGGGGGAGAGTCCCAACTTTGGGGAAAAGACAAATGCAGGTAATATGATAATTATTCTTTCCACTTTCCAAAAACTGAAACTGTCTATGAGTTTAACTGACTTGTCTAAGGTGGTGGAACCAGCCTTAATATTCTAATATAAACCTGCATTAGACTTCTGACTGTAAACCTTGTGTCATATACCAGCTGTGAACCAGATACTCTGGCAGCCAAGTAAAATACTGATAGTGAAAGGGTAAAAACAATGGAAAAGAGAAGCAAAGGCCAGCCAGGCATCTGGTGATTTTTCGTTCCTCCAGTGTCTGCTTGTTACCTAAACAGCCTCACCTGCTCTTTCTGGGAGCTGGGACCCTCAAGCAAGGCACACTTCTCTCAATGACTTAAGATTGGGCCAGAGAGTTTGTGAGGCCAGTGAGGCCTCACCTTAAGATGGGAGGCCTCACAAGGGCTGGGACAATGAGGCACTCATCCACACAATTATGTACCTGCACAATTAGGTCTGGACAAAATCCATACCACGTCATGTAAACACACAGGGAATGAGCCACTGCACACTTAAACAAGCACAAACACAGGTGCACACAGACTTTATGAACATGTTGTTGTTAGGTGATATTGAGTTGGCTCTGACTCAAAACTACCCCATATATAATAGAATGAAACATGCCCAGTCCTGCACCATCCTCACAATTGTTGTTATGTTTGAACCCATTGTTGCAGCCACTGTGTCAATCCATCTAACTGAGGGTCTCCCTCTTTTTCACTGACCCTGTACTTTACCACACATGATGTCCTTCTCCAGCAATTGGACCCTCCTGATGACCTGTCCAAAGTAAGCAAGATAAAGTCTCGCCATCTTCTCTCCTAAGGAGTATTCTGACTGTACTTCCTCCAAAAAAGATTTATTCATTCTTCCAGCAGTCCATGATATATTCAATATCGTTTGCCAACACCACAGTTTGAACACATTTATTATCCTTTAGTCTTTCATCATTGTCCAGCTTTATATGCATATGGCCCAAATGAAAGTACCATGGCTTATGCCAGGCACATTTTAGACATGAAAGTGATATCTTTTCATCTTAGCATTTTAAAGAGGTCTTTTGCAGCAGATTTGTCCAATACAATACATCATTTGATATCTTGATTTCATGAACATATACACTAATGTGTGGTTATGCACCAGTCATACATATCTAGCCACTATCATGTATACCCAGAAACTATACTTCAGTTACATACTAACCCACAGTCTTGGGTATATGAATGTATGTGTATATACAGGAGCTGTATAATGTGTAATACATACACGCACATACACACCTAAACACATGTACAATCACTCTTCATTACATGCATACTTAGTACTATAAGCATTATCTATGGAAAATAGCACATATGGTAAACACTAAAATTGTGTACCTGCAGGGGCATAGCAAGGATAATGAGTGCCCAGGGGCAATCTCTAAATTGTGCTTTCCACCTCTCCAGCCCTAGTTTGACCACCTAGGGGCAATCTCTTAAGTTTCTAGCTTCTCCCCCAATTTCAAGATGAGTAGATGTTGATAGCTGCCACCATCGGGAGAAAGGCCTGCCTCCTACAAATGAAACTACAAAACACTGTTACAGGAAACAAAAAGATATCCACATGGCTAGGAAGACTTAACATCATGAAAATGTCAATACTATCCAAAGCAATCTACAGAGAGGATACAGTCCTGATCCAGATTCTATCATCTTTCTTTAAAGAGATAGAAAAACTAATCACCAATTTTAATAGGAAAGAAAAGAGGCCCCAGATAAGTACCACAGAAGAGGGAACTCTGGTGGCGTAGTGCCTAAGGCATTTGACTGCTAACCAGAAGGCTGGCAGTTCAAACCCACCAGCCACTCATCAGAAGCAAGCTTGGGCAATCTACTTCCATAGTGATCCTGCCTCAGAAACACTATGAATCAGACACGACTTGACGGCAGTGAGTTTCTTTTTGTTTTTGTTTTTTTTTTAATAAAAACAAAGTAGGAGACCTCACTCCCTGATCTCAAAACCTGCTATACAGCCACAGTAGTTAATATAGCCTGGTACTGGTACAATGAGAAAGACATAGACCAAAGGAACAGAATAGAGAACCCAAAAGTAAATCCATCCACCTATGGACAACTGATCTTCGTAAAGGGTGGAAACTCATTAAATGGGGAAGAGATAGTTGTTTTAATAAATGGTGCTGGGAAAACTGGATAACCATTTGCAGAAAAATGAAACAGGGCCCATATCTTATACCATATACAAAAATGAAGTCAAGTTGGATCTAAAACCTGAAACCATAAAGACCATCACGGAAAAAAGTAGGGACAAACTTAGGGGCCCTAATTCAGGGCATAAATATGCATTATCAAATATAACTAAAAATGCACAAACACCAGAAGGAACACTTGAGGACTGGGACCTCCTAAAAATTAACACTTGCACATCAAAGTATTTCACCAAAAGAGTATAAAGAGAACCCACCGACGAGGGAAAAGTTTTGGCAGTGATATATTGGACAGAGGGCTAATCTCTAAAATTTATAGAAAACAGCAATAATGTAACAACAAAAGGACAAATAATCCGATTAAAAATGGACATGAACAGACACTTCACTAAGAAGACATTCAGGCAGCTAACGTGAAAAAATGCTCATGACCATTCATTAGCCGTTGTTGTTAGGTGTTGTCAAGTCACCTCCGACTCATTGCAACCCTATGAACAGCAGAATGAAACATTGCCTGGTCTGTGTCATCCTCACAATCCTTGCTATTCATAAGGTTTTCACTAGCTGATTTTTTCAGAAGTGGATGGCGTCATCCTTCTTCCCAGTTTGTCTTAATCTGGAAGCTCTGCTGAAACCTGTCCACCATGGGTGACCCTGCTGGTATTTGAAATACCAGTGGCATAGCCACTAGAGTACCACAGACTGACAGATAGGTGGTGACATTAGCCATTAGAGAGATGCAAATCAAAACAACAATGGGCTGTCATCTCACCCAGCACTAATAGCAAAGTTCAGAAAACAACAAATGCTGATGAGGGTGCGGAGAGACTGGAACCCTCATATATTGCTGGTGGGACTATAAAATTGTGCAACCACTGTAGAATGGCGCTTCCTTAAAAAGCTGGAAATAGAAATACCACAGGATTCCACTGCTAGGCATATATCCTTGAGAAATAAAAGCCTGGACACGAAGATACACACTATATTCATTGCAGCACTATTCACAATAGCAAAAAGATGGAAACAACTTCAATGTCCATCAGTGGAGGAACAGATAAACAAACTATGGTACATACACACAATAGACTATGCAATGTTAAAGAACGATGATGAATCTGAGAAACATCTCATAACATGAACTTACAGGCCATTGTGCTGAGTGAAATTAGTCAATCTTAAGAGGTCAAACACTGTATGAGGCTACTAGTGTAAAAAGTCAAGAGAAGGGTTTCACAAATAAAGAAATATTCTTTGATGGTTACCAGGGTAAACCACTAATTAGACTAGGATAGACACATACTAACTGGGGTGAACAGAAAGGTAAAAGAAAAAACAAAAACTGAATACTGTTTATATGAAAAGCTAGCAGCAATATAAAATATGGTTTTAAAAATAAAAATTACTGAAAAAAAAAGATAGCTGTGTCTTAAAGATATTCATTCTATCCATGTCCCTGTTCCTGTGATCTCCAGATTATTTCGTATTATTTCTTCAGCCTGCTTGTTTGAGATAACCGGTATCTTTTCAAGAAAATCCATTTTTTGTTTCAAAAGAAGAAAAAAGAAAGGCTTGCCCATCCTCTTGGTGCACTGTCTGAAAGGTGCCCGGGAATGTCATTCGCATCTCCTCCGACACCCCCTTGAACTTGTTCCCTGGTGCATGTGTTTCCTTTTGGCCCCTTTTTGCTATGCCTCTGTGTCTACCATGCTGGAAGAAAGGCGTTGGCCCACACAAGGTTAATATAAACTATTCAGTGCCCCCCCCCCCATTCACTTGCCACCCGGCTACGTGCCATGCCTGGCATACCGTGGACATGCCTCTGCTCAGTACACAGGGAATGTACTCTACTCACATGTTAACATGGACTCTCAGGTCCACACTGAGGTCAATGCTCACGTGCATGTGCGCATAGGTGTCTTTTCAGACATAGACACCTCAACGCTTGCAAACACACATGCAAATCACTCTCGTGCACGTAAACTCTCAAATATGCTGATACATTATACACAGAGAGAGATGCAGCCACACATGCAAGTTTTCACCAGCGCTGGAAGTCTTTTATAAACCCATGCCAAAGACTGAGCTTCCTGGCCGACGCCGCGCGCTCCTGGAGGGACCACGTGACCATCATTGCTCTAGCGGATGACGGGATGGGAAAACTATGCCTGGGGCCCGCGCCTGGCCGTGTAGCTGCGGCGTTGGAGGCGGAGGCGGAGCGCTGCTGAGAGCTTCTTCGCTCCGGACGCCCCTGGACGTGGCCTACGTCTGCTAGGGTGAGTGTTCAGCTTCGTGCTTTCCAGGTCTGCACCTCCACCGCCCGCGGCCAAGAAAGTGTAGACGGGAGGGGCTGGATATACGGTGATGGGACGGAAGACACTAGGAGCGTCAGCGCCTCTCGGTGCGCCCGGTAACTCCCCCCACCCAATTCCAGACTCTCAGTGTCTGTCTTATGAATTATTACCATTTATTGAATGCTAACTATGTGCCAGGCTGTGTTCAGTGGTTTACCTGTTATAATAATAGCTCTACCATTTATTGAACATCTAACCTACTTTGTGTCAGGCACTGCCAACTCTTTATATGCAATGTCTCTTCTTCGTGGCAACAGGTTATCTCCATGCACAAAAGGGGAACCAGGCTCAGAGACATTAAAAACTTACCCAGGGTTGCACAGCTAGTGACTGATGGAAAAGGGGCTTGAACCCTGGTGGATCTGAGTCCAAAACCCGAACTAGTAAATTATAGTTAATATTTACTGAGTATTAGGCACTGTGCCAGATCATTAGAATGCTTTATTTCTTTATTCTTCACAACATTCTTTAATCAAATACATTGTTGTTGTATGCCGTCCATTTGATTCTGACTCATAGCCACCCTATATGAAAGAATAGGGTTTCCTAGGCTGTAATCGTTATGGGAGCAGATTGCCAGGTCTTTTCTCCCATGGAACTGCTGGTGGGTCTGACCTTTTGATTAATAGCCAAGCACTTAACCATTGCACCACCTCCCCCCCCCCCAAAAAAAAAACGCACTGCTATTGAGTGGATTCCAACTCATAGCCACCCCCATTGGGTTTCCAAGGCAGTAGATCTTTACAGAAGTAGATTGCTTCATCATCCTCCTGGCAAGCAGCTGGTGAGTTTGAACTGCTGAACTTCTGGTTGGTAGTCAAATGCCTTAAACTCTGCCACTAAATACATTGTAGAGATGAGTAAATTGAGCTCATTGTTGTTGTTGTTATTGTTGTTATGTGCCATCGAGTCAAACCTGACTCATAGCGACCCCTCCTTGGGTTTCCGAGGCAGTATCACTACGGAAGTAGGATTGCCCAACCTTCCTTCCGAGGAGTGGCTGGTAGGTTTGAACCGCCAGCCGTCTGGTTAGCAGGCAAGTGTCTTAGCCACTATGCTACCAGAGCTCCCAATAGAGGTAATAAATGATGAGCTCAGATTTGTACCCAATTCTTCATAACTTTCTTCATTATCTCTCCTCCTCCAATCTAGTTGTCTCCAGCACTTAACTTACTTTGTTCTGATTTCTTTAGCCCTGCTGCTAATGCCCCATTCCAGGACCTTAGCAGGGTAGCTCTGCCACTGCAATAGCTGCTAGTGCTAACCTCTCTCCTAACACTATAAGTGAGTCCTAGGCACAACCTGTGTGATCCTCCTTGAGGGGCTCTTTGACAGAGCTTGAAACTCCTGCGTGGAACCCTTCAAGAGTTCTTGCTTATAGGTGAGGTCTCTTCCTTACGTTGGCCATCTTCCCCAAATATCCTGTGTTCCTGCCATGCTGAACAGCAATATCAATGGTAATGTCCTACATATATCCACCCAAGGTGATGCTCAGTTAAATGTCCTATTTATATCCACCCAAGGTGATGCTCAGTTAACCAAACAGTTGCTATCTAGTCAGTTCCAACTCATGGTGACCCCTGTGTGTCAGAGTAGAACTTTGCTTCATTGGGTTTTCAGTGGCTGACTTTTCAGAAGCAGATTGCCAGGCCTTTCTTCCAAGGCATCTCTGGGTGGGTTCAAACCTCTAGCCTTTCAGTTAGCAGTTGTTTGCACCACCCAGCAACTCCAAGGCTGAGTTAGCATTGTTCAGAATCTGTCCTCTTGTGTCTTCCATTTCTTTCCACCCATCCATACCAGCCTTCCCCAACCTATTCTGTTACCTGGCAACTGTATCCATTACTCCTACTTTATACTGCCAACTCCTCAGGCCCTCTACACTTTTCGAAATATCTCTATTGCCTTTCATTCTGATACATCCAACTCACCACAGAGTTTGTTTCTTTCCAAATGTCTGACTTTTCCCCATCTCCTAGCCATGAGGCCAACCTTGCCTATCTTCCAATCCCTAAATCTCACTTTCTCTTTTTTTAAATGTCATATATATA